GTAAGGCAATGCGACTTTACGAAGACGGCCAACTAATGTCAAATATGTTTACTGGTTCAGCACAAATCTTGCCCCGATTATAACAAGTTTGCCAAGTGTGTAAGCCGTCATGCGTGAACGCCGCTCATTAGGAGGCTGAAACGCTCGCGCTTGCTTTGGATTGAAACTTGGGCGTCAAGAGGCACGACAAAGCTGACAACAACCACACCGCGCTGGTCTGGCCCCGGTCCGGCCTAGTTCTGAACTAATCTGGCTCTAGAGTGGTCTGGTCATGGACTCGCCCGATTCCAGACTGGCCTGGCTATGGGTGAACCTGGCCCTAAACTGGCGGGGCTCTGAACTGACCGGGCTCTGGACTGACCTGGTTCTGGACTCAGACGGTTTTGTACTGGCCTGGCTATTGGTTAACCTGACCCTGCACTCCTGCACTGACCTGGCTCTGGGCTGACCTGGCTATGTTCTGGCCTGGCCCTGGGTTGACCTGTCTCTGAGCTGGTTCGGCTTTGAACCGGTCTGCGTTCGTGTCGACCAGTCCGGGACTGACCTGTCCCCTGACCTGACCTTTGACCGACCTGGCTCTGGGCTGACCCGGGGGCGTGTGACTACCGCCGCGCCACCCGCCCATCAGCCGCACAGTGCTCATCACTGGTCGCCGCCGGTCGGGGACACCCTGAATACAATTAGCGTGTGGGCGCACCCACCAATTACGGCCCGATGAGGGATGTCCGATAGGCCGCGTGCAGCGCGTACAAACAATACAGCGGCGGGTGGGTGGGAGGCGGCGGGCGGCTGCACGCGCGGGGGCGTGCCCGACGCCGCACGCAGCCCCTCCCCGCTCTCCTGACAGCAGTCGCTGCCGACCAGATTGGAGCCGAGGATTGGGCAATGCCTGGACTCGGGTGAGGCGAGCTGGAGGTGGACGTGCTGCCGGTGGGTCGGGTGGTGTGCTCGCTGCAGAGCGGTATGCGATTGGGGGCTTATTTGCAAACTTGCTTTTTATGAAAGGCTTCGGGTCTGGAAACAACATTACGGGCAAAATATTGAGTGTTTTCGTTTCAGGTAATGTCATAACCCCACAACCCACAAACATATTTTGTAGCGTGAGAAGCACCTATCGTCGGACGCGTCAGGAGCACAGTCCCCTGCAGCAGTGTGTTCCCCTGGATAAATATTTTCTCAGCCCCAGCCCGTTCGATAATCCCGTGGCGTCTGCATTGTTACTGACTGCAGTTGGCTGCAAGAGGCGAATTGTTTGTTGCACACTGCAGCTTTGTTCAACGAGGAGGAACAAGATAGATCGCACCACTCATCTCTGGTGCACGAGTGCCGATGCCCCAGGGAAAGAGCAAGCTCGTGTTGTCGGGGCGTCAGCCGCGAACTCTGTAACAATCGTTGGTAATGGGGGTGGACATCGTGCTAGTTCACAAAAGCCGAGGTTTGCGCTCATCCAAAGTTTGGAGGCATCGTTAACCTGGCTTGGCTCCAGCCTTGTGACAGCGCTTCCCAGTCAAGCCAGGAGAACCCAGGCTGTTGGTTGTCAGCCTCCTCCATGGCATTGAGATGAAGACCATTAGCCTGGACTGGAGCCCCTCAAAGACAGGGTGGTGATATCAGCCGGATTAGAACCCCTCGGATATAGCGTGAAGACGTCAGCCTGAACCGGAGCCCCTCGGAACAAGACATCAGCTTGGACTGCAGTTTCTCGGGGACAGGGTGAGGATATCAGCCTGACTGGAACCCCTCGTAGACAGGGTGAGGGCATCACCAGGAGTGACGCTCCCCGGAGAGGGGGTGGGGACATCAGCCAGGAGTGACGCTCCCTGGGGAGGGGTGGGGACATCAGCCAGGAGTGGACGTTCCCCGGAGAGGAGTGGGGACATCAGCCAGGAGTGACGCTCCCTGGGGAGGGGTGGGGACAATCAGCCAGGAGTGACGCTCCCTGGGGAGGGGTGGGGACATCAGCCAGGAGTGACGTTCCCCGGAGAGGAGTGGGGACATCAGCCAGGAGTGACGCTCCCTGGGGAGGGGTGGGGACAGCAGCCAGGAGTGACGCTCCCCCCGGAGAGGGGTGGGGACAGCAGCCAGGAGTGACGCTCCCCCCGGAGAGGGGTGGGGACATCAGCCAGGAGTGACGCTCCCTGGGGAGGGGTGGGGACATCAGCCAGGAGTGACGTTCCCCGGAGAGGAGTGGGGACATCAGCCAGGAGTGACGCTCCCTGGGGAGGGGTGGGGACATCAGCCAGGAGTGTCGCTCCCCGGAGAGGGGTGGGGACAGGAGCCAGGAGTGTCGCTCCCCGGAGAGGGGTGGGGACAGCAGCCAGGAGTGACGCTCCCCCCGGAGAGGGGTGGGGACATCAGCCAGGAGTGTCGCTCCCCGGGATGGGCGGGGGACGGCAGCCAGGAGTGACGCTCCCTAGGGAGGGGCGGGGGACATCAGCCAGGAGTGACGCTCCGTGGGGAGGGGCGGGGGACAGCAGCCAGGAGTGACGCTCCCCGGAGAGGAGTGGGGACATCAGCCAGGAGTGACGCTCCGTGGGGAGGGGCGGGGGACGGCAGCCAGGAGTGACGCTCCCCGGGATGGGTGAGGGAGCGGCCTCCGGGCCCGGGCTGGCGGTCCCGAGGTAAGCGTGAGCAGTGAGCAGTCCTACCTCGCGTAACTGGTAGTGACGGGCGTCTCCATCAGACCACAGCCTCCGGCCTGGGGACAGCCCACCGGCCGAGGAGGCGTGTGATCCGCGGCTAAGCACAGCAACCAGATGGCAGTCCATCAGGAGCTATAGCATAGCGACGGCAGATCACCACTATCACCAATGGGGTTTCCAGCCTTGAGAGGCCCCTGGGCACTGGGATAATGAATGTTGCTGCTGGTCTGGAGCTGGAAAGAGTCGCCCCATTCGTGGACGTAATTGGCAGTTGCCCCGCTATGCAAAATATATGACTTTTCTTGCTAAGGTTAGTGCGGCGTGCTGGCGGATGCTGCCTCAAAATTGTACAACAATATCTACCTAAAAACAGGACATTGTACTACTTGAATGGGATCGGACTTTGGGCGAGAATGAGAGCAAAGTAGGTTCTCTTCTTAACGCATTTTAGTTCACACAGGGACGTGAAAAACGATGCTCCATTACAGCTTAAGAAATGTAGGGCACCCCGACGGTAGCAGGTAAGTAGTGTGCGCTGGGTCACTGACCTTCATACAAGGGCAGGGGGCGAAGGACGCGGCATGCACTGGAGAGGGTGAACTGCGGGTGCGGCTGAGTGGGGCCTGGTCCGATATTCTGATGGCATATGATGCGTACCGCCACTCTGGTGATGATGTTCATGCCAGTTCGAGCTTGTTTGTTTTGAAGTACTTTGCTTGCTTGCTGCCTTACAAACTTGTTCAGACATTTCTTAAGTGTTGACTTACTAATTTTCATCGCAATTGCCAAACGTATACACTCGCGTTTCGGTTCGTGATAGTTTTTAAACGTTTTTTGAAGTCCTATTTTTTTGAAAGCTGGACCAGGACCAGCACCGGTCCCGTCTTCTGGCTCGGACGAGACGGGCGACGCGGGAGCCCGCCGCGTTTCTCTGCCGGCCGGACGGTATTTGTAGCGATCGGC